GGTGGGGGGGGGGGGGGGGGGGGGGGGTGGGGGGGGGGGGGGGGGTGGGGTGGGGGGGAACCACACTGGCGGGGGGGCAGTAAGGGGTGACCAGGCCAGCAGGGGCGGCAGTTAGGAGCGAACAGGCCGGCAGGGAGGGGGCAGTTGGGGGCAACCTGGCCAGCAGCAGGAGGCAGTTAGGGTCGACCAGGTAGGCAGGCAGGTGAGCGATTAGGAGCCAGCAGTCCAGGATTGTGAGAGGGATGTCCGACTGCCAGTTTAGGCCCGATCCCCGGTATTGGGCCTAAACCAGCAGTCGGACATCCCCCAAGGGGTCCCGCATTAGAGAGGGTGCAGGCTGGGCTGAGGGGACCCCCCCACCTCCCTGTGCACGAATTTTGTGCACCAGGCCTCTAATGTATGTGTGTGTGTGTGTGTGTGTGTGTGTGTGTGTGTGTGTGTGTGTAAATAATTTACTTGGTGTTCATTCATCAGATTCTTACTGTAGGCAGGGCACTGTGCTGGGTCCTGGCCTCGGTTAGGGAAGAGTATGATACAGATTTGCACACATTGTAGTTTTTGCCCTTTAAAATGAGCTTATGCTATGGTTAGCAAAGAAAATACATCAAATGCTAAGTATAAGTATATGATGATACATAAGCATTATAAAATAAGCAGTATTGGGAGTTCAAACATGGGATAGATTATCATCAGCTGGTACAGTTAAGGTTAAGCTTTTGCTCAAGAAAGTGAGCTAAAAGGGGAATTTCAGAGGATGAGAAAGATCTAGATAAAAAATATCAGAGATGACTTAGACTCTTAATGAAACAATTTCTTCTCTTTTCCTTAATTTTAAGTTTAGGCAGAACTATATTTATTATCTCTATCAATGGAATGCAGGAAACCTAGGTTTTTAGTCAAAGATCTGCCATTAATAAGCTGTGTAATCTTGGATAGTCAAGACTTAAAGTAAGAGAGGATCTTAAAATTTTCAGTTGTTTATCTAGGTTAACCCCTCAGTGCTTTTGATATTTTCAACTATAAAGTTGGAATAATTAATTTCTTAATTTCACTGAATTATTATGAAATGAAGTTCTGTAATATAAATTTAAGGTGTCATCATAGCTATCTTTCAGAGGACTGAACTAGTTTGGCAGATTCAAGAGATATATTCTTTAAAATTTGTTTTTATACCAAAACTTTTACTTACTTATAGATTGAAAACTGTAACTATGCAGTGGATCTTGGGAAGAATAAGGCCAAATTCTCCTTGGTTGGCATTGCTGGGCAGGACCTAAATGAAGGAAATTCAACACTGACACTGGCATTGGTATGGCAGCTAATGAGAAGGTAAAGGCTGCGATGTTTATAGCAACACTGTGGATTTCTTTTTAAAAATCCTTTGAACTAAAGTTTTAGTTCATTTGGATGAATAACAAACACAGAATAAATATACTACAAAAATATTAATTTTTAAATGATTGTTGATACTATATTCTTTGTAAATAATTCCTTTTTTAATAGTGGATAAATCTCTAGAAACAATCACTATTCTTAAAAACTGTGTTGAATGGAGTTGTTTTAATTTTTTTAATACCAGATAGTAGTTTTTGTTTCTCATTACTGAGCTTTGTAACTTTGGATTGTAACTAAGTGCAAAAACCAGGTTAAAATTAAAAATAGTTATTAGAATTGAATATTTCTTAAATATTTATCTAAATATTGATATAAATGATGTGGGAGCAGATTTCACCCGTTTCAGTCTCAAATATACATCTTCTCTCTTACAGGTACACATTGAATGTGTTATCAGATCTTGGAGAAGGTGAAAAAGTCAATGATGAGATTATAATTAAATGGGTCAATCAGACTCTTAAAAGTGCAAACAAAAATACTTCTATTTCCAGCTTCAAGGTAATCAAAGCTATTTTAAAAATTTTTGGTAAGAAATTAAGTGTAGGAATAAACTTTATTGAGAATTACATTGGTTTAGTTTCAAGATTACATTAATGTTATATCTCAGAATCACAATTTGTGAGCTTAGGCATACTAATTATTTGGCATGTGTAAACCAAAACTGTACAGTGTGAATTCTTATATTTTTGATTCATTGTCCTATTGAGTATAAATGCAGGTTAATGTTATCAGATTCTGATATTCTAATCTTAAAAAGAAATAGAATAGAGCAATAAAATAGAATTGTCAGATGAAAAAGAAAGCTAAAAAGCCATTGTTTATATAGGATCTGTAATGTTTTGTGCTCCCTAGCAGCAGTCTCAGAATTGTATTGACATCATTTCCAAGGCATAACAGAGCCAGCCAAACCAATTCAAGTGGGAATTGAAAAAACTGGTAGGAAAAGAAAATCTTATCATGTGGCTTCATAATGGCATTTAATGCTTACTTCCAAGCATTTGTGGATGATTCATAAAGCACTCAAAATGTAATTTGCACATGCATACCCACTAATTGTCATGCATTTCCATTGTTTTGCTTTTGCATGCAAGCTGATGTTAGCTACAACTAAGCATGTCTGCTTGTATCCATTCATTCAGTGAGCCTTGTGTTTGTAATTTCATTATAAGTGATAAATCAGCAATTTGTATTTTTGTAGTAAAATAAGAGTGCAAACGGATGAATCCCTAAGTTCTCCTAAGACTTATCTATCCATCTTTATTCTCTTCTTTGCCTTTGCTCTATATGTTTAACAACATTGTAGAGTAGAAGAAATGTCAGAAATTGATAAATTCAATCTTCTCATCTTTACTTAAACTGAGCCCCAAAGTGGTTTTAATAGGATAGCTCAGTGATCGGCAAACTGCGGCTCTCGAGCCACATGCGGCTCTTTGGCCCCTTGAGTGTGGCCATGAAGTTTCAATCGCACTGTATGTGCGCGCCCGCACGTGGTATTTTGTGGAAGAGCCACACTCAAGGGGCTGCAGTTTGCTGACCACTGGAGCTGGATTTTGGCAGAGATATTGCCTGAGTCCTGGTGGTTCAAGTGTGTTTTTTCTTTTCCATCTTGGAAGGAACTAATGACATTGAGTTTTTATTGTTGCTTATTAAAAAAAAAAGAATTTCAGTCCATGATTTGTCTTTTTACATTTTAGACATAAAACACAACATAGAAATGTAAAATAGGAAAGGAGACATGTAAAATTCTCCAATTGACAGTCACTCATTAAAATTGTTATACTGTAACTTAATGCATTTGTACTTTAATTTATAAAAAACAATTTGTGTATAATCAAATAAAATACAGTGAGAAAACATTTAGGAACAAATTAATAAGTTTTTATTGAGCTTTTGCCAGTAACATTTCTAGGCAAAGAAGAAGATATAGAATATAAGAAATTATTTAGCCCTCAGAGTGTTCACCATTTACTTGAAAGGCAAATTTGTATAACTGAGAAGGTAATGATATTATAGTCATTAATTAATGCAACTACTATTATGGATAAATCTAACTGATCGTTTCCAACTGAATGGTCAGTGAAGAGTGATGAAGAAAGTTGGATTTGATTTGAGCACCATGGAGAGGAGGGATTTGAATTGGTGGAGAACAAGAGTGGTATAACAAGCTAGAAGGGGTCCATCTTGAATAAAGGCAAGTCTGAGAAGGTTAGGAGAAATAGTTTGGCTAGAGAAGCAGGTTCCTAAGGGATACAATGCAAGATATAGGCTGGGTTAATATTGTGGAGAAATCTGGCCTTAATAAAGAATATTGTAAGGGCAGTAATGTAAGAAGAGTGACTATTTTAAGAATACTGTTCTGCATGTGGTGAGCAGATGGCTGGAGGAAGAATAGTTTAAATCCAAGGACATTATATAAGAAGCTGAGGCTGAACTCAGGTATGAAGTAAAGGACCTGGAGGTAGGGTGGTCACTGAGAATGTTAAGAATGAATAATATTTGCTATTGTAAAAGAATAGGTATGGTTTGGCTTCTTGATTTAGGGAAACACTGCAGAGATTTTTCAAATCAGGTTAAAACTCCTGATTTGGGGGCCTGGGTAAATGGAAAACAAAGTATAACAAAAATGGGGATGTCGTGAGGTTTAGCTGCTTTCTGGAAAAGAAGATGAATTCAGTTTTAAGCTTGTTGAATTTGAGGTAATTTTCAGGAAGTGAGGAGCTGGATGAAAGGAGATACCAAAACTGGGAATACAGCCTGGCTGGTGTTGCTCAGTAGTTGAGTATTGACCTATGAATCTGGAAGTCACGGTTCGATTCCTGGTCAGGGCACATGTCCGGGTTGTGGGTTCGATCCCCAGTAGGGGGTGTACAGGAGGCAACCAATCAATGATTCTCTGTCATCATTAATTTTTCTATCTCTCTCTCCCTCTCCCTTCCTCTATCAATAAAAACTTAAAAAACAACAACCGGGAATACATACTTGGTGATCAGTTGAATAGAAGAAATAGTTGAGAATGGGTGCACACAAGCTCTTTGAGAGAATTCATTGAGAAAAGTAGACTTGAAAGTATGGTTTTATTTAACACTAGGCGGCAGAAACATACTGTGGAAGTGCTTGGCATTTAGTAGGTGCTTGACATAAAACTCTAGATTGTAAATAGTTAAGAAATTCGGTAGTGAATGCTAAAAATAGTTGGGGTTGGAGAGGTTTTTTCCAACTGTAGAAGGCATTATAATTGAAAGCCATAAGTAGTACTAGCAAGAACCATAATTAAGTCAGTGCTATACCTAGAAATTTCAGAAAAGTCAAGTTTACCCTTTTTAGTTGTCAAGTAATTTTCCCTCACAAAGAATATCAGGAGGCGGTATATTAGCCAATAATAATAATCATAATTGTCATTTATTGAGTTCTATGTGTCACTATGTTAAACACTTTACACATTATTATTTCTTTTTTCCACAACTCTATAAACAAAAAGATGAGCATTAGAAAAATTAAATAACGTGTCCACTGTCATCCTGTATAATAAAAGTCTAATATGCTAAGTGTCTGGTCTCCATTCAACCAATCAAACCATAATATGCTAATGATATGCTAAGGCCACTCAACTGCTGCTATGACGTGCACTGACCACCAGGGGGCAGATGCTCTGACTGGTGGGTTAGCTTGCTGCTGGGGTCTGGCCGATCGGGACTGAGTGAGATGGGCCGGACATGCCCTGGAGCCCTCCCGCGGTCCCTCCCCGGCTGGCCAACCTCCCACATCCCTCCCCAGCCCTGATCATGCACCAGTGGGGTCCCTTGGCCTGGCCTGCACCCTCTCACAATCCAGGACTTCTCAGGGGATGTCAGAGAGCCGGTTTCGGCCCAATCCCGCAGGCCAGGCTGAGGGACCCCACTCGTGCACAAATTCGTGCACCGGGCCTCTAGTACAGCTATAAAGATGAATAACTGGATTTTACACCCAGACATGTCTAACTGCAGGATGAAAACGAAGCTATGGAGTTTATGGCCCTGGATGTGACTTTGGCTCAGCCAGTTAGCTGTGTGACATATTGCTCATTCATTTCATAAATACAAAAGTAGCTATATAGTGGTATTCATTGTGATGTTCATTTGAGTTAATAAAACTATTGTAATAATCATAACCTTCATGCCTTTGTCTATATAATAACTGTACACCTACTTTTGCCCACCCCTGTCAGGTGCTTTGATAGCCTCTGTAGCTACATAGCCTCTGTGGCCCTCAAAGAGCTCACTGTTCAGGCAAGGAGGCAAAAAAGAAAACTCGAATCCTATGGGGTGTCATTAATACTGCAGAAATCAGCTAAGTGAAATAGGGAGCACCAGAGAAGGGCATGTGTCTTATGAAAACCTTAGCAGTTTATACTAGCAGCTGACTACATCTCTTGATGAATAAAGCTGAATTTACTTCTTGCTTACCATCTGTATCACCTTGGGCAAATAATTAATTTCTCTATGCCTCATTTTCCCATATTTAAAATGGAGATATTAATAGTACCTATCTTCTGAGTTTGTCGTCAAACTAAACAAATTAATAAATGTAAAGTGCTCAGTAGTATGTGGCACATAATACGGGCTCTGTAAATGGGGATTACTAGGCTATTGGTACTGCCAACATATAAAGGGTATCACACGTGGAAAGGTTCCTTTTGAGCTCTTCAGGGAACTCTGGTAGCCACATCATTTTTTTCCACTTTTGTTTTCAAAAATGACAGGAAGAACACTAGACTGGAATTGTCTTAATAGGAATGTATATCAAATTAAGAAAAAGAGACAGTATAATTCACTATCTTGAAAATCAAGACAAACTCTAGGCTAGTTGTCTTTAAGATTCTACAAATGATTTTTGCTTAAGTAACTTATTTATGATTAACTTAAGGAATATGGAAGGGAAAATGATGAGAATGTATTTATATACTAAACTTAGGGTTTTACCGTACTATAACCCCTCTTCCCTTTGCAAAAGTAAAATGTTTTTCACTGATAATATACAAATCAGAGGAGTTGGAAGATAGGCCTGTTTTCTTGGAAATAGGGAGATAAAGGGATCTGATATATCTTTAAAAGTTAAATTTTTATTCAACACAATAAAACTTTTTCCTAAGGAGAATCATAGGGACATACGTTGAAAAAATCCTTGCTTCCTATATCTAAGTGAAGAAATATTTAAAATACCACAAAAAGTATAACTTTCAGTCATAAGATGAATACCATCTGAGGATCTAATGTATAGCATGGTGACTATAGTTAACACTATCCTATATAATAAAAGCCTAATGTGCTAAGTGTCCAGTCGTCTGGTGACCGGTTGACTGTTCAACCAATCAAAGGGTAATGTGCTAATGATATGCGAAGGTAACTCAACTGCTCTCTATGATGTGCACTGACCACTTGGGGGCAGACGCTCCGACTGGTAGGTTAGCTTGCTGCTGGGGACTGGGCGAGACAGGGCTGGACACATCCTGGGGCTCTCCC